TACTATTTAGAGGACTTTCCTCTTAAAATAAGAAACTCTTGTTGGCGCCTATTTTAGTATAAAATATACTTAAAGTAAGTGGGATATCTCTCTCCTCAAAACAAGAATACAATTTTTTCGGTGTAGGAGAGTAAGAAAAAAAGTAGATGCTACTTTGACGCTGCTTTACGTCCGAAATTTCTTTTTTTTCTGCTAAAGTTTTAAAGTAGGGTTCAATTCTCAACTCAGACTGCGCAAGCTCTGATAGGCTCAAAGTAGGAGTAAGAAAAAAAGTGGATGCTTTGACGCTGCTATACGTCCGAAATTTTTTTCCTGTACACGCACGAGAAAACATTTGCCAAAAATTTGCATGTTATAAATTTTTTAAATTTATTATTATTATTGATATTAATTTGCTTCTAAATCGGATAGTTTTTTTTATCAGTCGCAAAAACAGTCGGCGTAATTTTTTCTCGCGCGAATCGTTAGAACGTACACACATTTCGATTCTACTTTTTCAACGATGATACCTAATTAAAAGGGCGGCGTTTATCTTGTCAATTATCGCGGCGGATTCGCGGAAAGTTTCGTCCGGACGACGACGACGACGACGACGGCGATATTGTTGCGGCGCCTCACGATCCCGGAGGAATTCAGTGACGCGTGTAACTCGACACTCTCTCTCTGTAGAGCTAATTCCGTTGCAAGCGAAGTACAGAAATCGCGTCCGGAAGACGCCGCGTCAAAGGCAAAGGGCGCGCGCAAAAGCGAGAGAGTCGGTTTCATTGTAATTCCCGCCTAGCTTACAACGCCGTCCTTGTCGGAGGGGGGGAGAACGGGCGGATAAAGCCCGTCGGCGAAACCGAGATCCGACGACGACGACGACGACGACGACGACGATGCGACTTGGTTGCTCACAAAGTCGCGCGATCAAACTCGCCGAGTTTAAAACTTTCCAATTAAACGCGAAGACTTCGAAATTCGGACCCGGAAGTCTCTCTCGATTGTTATCTCGCACACGTCGCCGAGAAATAAATGTAACAATATTAAACGCGCGCGCGCGCTTCGTTCAATTTTTTTTTTAACCTGGGAGATTTATTTCGAAGAAAAAAAATTCTTACGGCGCGACGCCAGTGAAAAAAGACGATTTTCGTCGGGCAGAAACGTCGCTCTCGACTCTCGTCTCGCGTTTTGTCGCGGGCTGCCGTCTCTTGCCAAGTACAGATCGTACAATATTTTACGGGGGGGGGGGGGTGTCTTCGGCAGATACACGCGCGTGTTCTCTTCTTCGGAGTTATACACCGGAGTCGGGAACGGGTGCCCGTCTAAGAATCGCGAAAGTGTCGTAAAGTTTGATCGATCGTAAATTGGATTGTTCCGCGGGGAGCACGTAGTCGAGACGACGATAAATGAAACTTCGATGCTCATGAAGAAAAAGAGAAGAAGAGAGAAAGAGCGAGAGAGAGAGAGAGAGAACATTCAAGCTGCTTTGGATATACGAAGGATTCGTTCCACTTTTACGCCGGGGAAACTTCGCTTATCGCTTTAATTTGAAGCTCGCCCATCAGCGCAAACAAAGCGGTTTATTATTACGTCACTTTGAATAATTTTGTTTTTCTCAGCGAAACGATCCCCCCCCGTCGCGCATCGCAGCACGCATTTTGCGTCTCGCAACGCGACACTCTCGCTCGTCTTTTATTCTCGAAACAAATTTATATAAATCCACACGCGAAAACTTATCTCACGCAATTTTCGCAAAACGCCACATCGGCCGTACAGAATTTTTTGTTTAATCGTTACTGTTCTCTGTTTTAAATAAAAGAAAAATCTTAATTCGAGGGGTGGAGGGGTAAGTTAGTTGCGCGGGGTAAATTTGGTTTATCGCGTCGCGGGCGGATTTGAAATCATGCGGAATTGTATCGGCGCGTGTCGACACAAAACGCAACGCGATTACATATATATATATTAATATAAACATAAACGCGATCCTTGTTAACGCGAGAGAATTATTGCGCTGCTTAAACAAACGCGCACAATGACTGTCATTAGCGTCACAACGCGATTAAATCGACCACGGTTTAAATAGACCGTGGATTATGTAGCCGACATATATATATATGTATATTGAAGTTCGCTTGAAATCGATAACCAGTGACACATGTATGACGCGCGGTAACGAGCATCAGATCGGTTACCAGACATTAATGGGATGGATATTGAAACTGACGGATGTGTGCAACAACAACAGATTTTCCTCGCACACGGGGAGGAAGAAGAGGGACAGAGAGAAAGAGAGAGAGAACCTGATCTTTTGAACCGAAACTGAAATTCCCGCTTAATTTGCATGTTACGTACATTGTAAAAGAGAGAGAGACAAGCTAGTCTCCGCGCAATGACATCGGGGGGATCACAATGAGGGGGAGGATCAGGTGCTCGTTGCGTAATGAAAGAAATGAGATTTGAGCGAAGGGGTAAGCGCGTAAAGATGCAAATTCACACAGCGCGACGTTGCCGCGCAATTTCCACCCATTCCCACCCGACGCAAAGCCGCAAAACCGCTGCAAAACAATTTCGCTATATAAAACAAAATCCTTTGTAACGCGGCGCGGCGCGGCGCGTCTGACAAACGGCAACGCCGCGGTTTGTCGCGCGGAAAATTCCTTACCCTCCCCCGCGAGAGAAACCAAAATTCACCCCCCCGTCCCCGCGTTCGGAAGTTTTCCCTCTCCTCTTCCTCGATAACGCGAACAAAAAAACAAAAAAACGTACATCTAGCGAATTCTCGACGAATTAAAAACATTAAATTGTTGCGAGAGAAGTTTTGTGTTTTCTCTCGCGCGTTCAACAACGCGCGGAGAGAATTTATTGGATTAAAAAATAATTAACTAACGTTCGATTAATTTTTGTTTTTTTTTTTCGCGTTTGCGTTTGTTGCTGCACGTCGGGATTTAATGAAGCGGAAAGATATGAATATTTAGAACAGAGAAACTCGGTTCGGGGTTCGATTAATTTTAAGTCTCAAAGTTTTTTTAATTTAATTATTACAGCATAATTGTGACGGTAAAATTACATTACTGCTTACTAATGTAATTTTCGTCTATTTTCGTATCGTATTCTGGTCTATATCTTAAAATTAAAGCGGTACAAACACACGAATTGTGTGTTTGTCTGTGTATGTGTGTGTGTGTGTGTGTGTATGTGTGTTATTACAATATATTATATTAAATAAAAATCAAAACTCTCGCAAACAATGTGGCAACACGTTCCCCATAACGTTTCACTCTCACGCATTCACACACACATTCCGTCTATTATTAGATCATACGTCAGATTATACGTCACAACATTACAACTTCGATACGATATAAAACTCTTATAGTTTAAGAAACTTAAATTACATTAACTCTCGTTTATATTTTATATATATACATATTTCTCGCAAAATTTTATTATCATATGGATTTCAGGGCACTCGCTTTTCCGACAACATCATTTTCAATGTAACGCCGTAGATGATTGTAAAAAAAAACATTAAAAAAATCAATGCGACGCGAAAGATTGCACGTGTGTTGCGTAACACAATTCTCACGTTATTTATAAATATATATTTCCCGCAGACACAGGACGCGGACTGGAAGCGACGCAATAGACCCAATCAATACGACGCCTTTTTCCATAAGAGAAAAACGCCGACCGAAACGGCCACCGCCGCCGTTTCTCGTCACGACTCTCCCCGTGTGTTTTACATCCCCGAAGAATGAAATTTCCTACTCCCGCGACTCTGACTTGAAATAATGTTGTCGTTTGTTTGTTTGTTTTTTTTTTAATTTTTTATTATCGTTGACGTGTGAGAGAGCAGCTATTTTTTTTTTTTTGTAACGAGTTTTGTCTCCGCGTGAAGATTTGTGTGATAAAAGCGAACACAAAACACAGAAATCGAAATATTAAAAGCTAACGTCAACCCCGGTATCTTTTGTTACGCGCGAAATTTGTAAAAAAAAAAAACACACACGAGGTCATTGCCCTCGATCTAAGCGAGTGATTTGAGACTTGTGTGTTGTGTAAGTACCAATTGTTGTAAGATCCAATTTGTGCGAGAGACTCCCTCGTCTCGCGTCACTTTTACACACCTCTCTCTCTCTCTCTCTCTGTCTCGCACATTTCTTGTCCATAATTTTCCCCTCGCAGTTCTTTGATCCCTCCCGTCCCGCACTTTCTGTCCCGCTGCCACGACAATGGAGTTGCTCCGATCGCGCGCATGTGATGTATAAAAAAGACCATGGTGGCACAAAAGAGAGAAATTTAAACACACCGAAAAAATTATATTCTTGTAAGTAGAAGATTTTATACTTAAAAAATCTTCTTCAAGATTTTAGATGATATTCTTCTGAAATTAAGAATATATTCTTTATTTAAGAATATAGTCTTTTTTGATAGTGAGATATATATATGTTTTTCTATAGAGGCTTTTTATATTCTAATCAGTATATGTTCTTATCAATATTACTATTTAGAGAATTTTCCTCTTAAAATAAGAAACTCTCTTCTTGGGGCGCCTATTTTAGTATAAAATATACTTAAAGTAAGTGGGATATCTCCTCAAAACAAGAATACAATTTTTTCGGTGAATATATTCGAAAGGTACACTAATTAATTATATTTATAAAATATGGCGCCGATTCAAACGCGAAAAAAATGTCAAAATAAAAAATTGCAAAATTATATAAATGTTTTAATAAAAGATGAAAAAGAAAAGAATACATTTCGAATTTTATTACACCGAAAAAATTATATTCTCGTAAGTAGAAGATTTTATACTTAAAAAATCTTAAAGATTTTAGATGTGATATTCTTCTGAAATTAAGAATATATTCTTAATTTAAGAATATAGTCTTTTTTGATAGTGAGATATATATATATGTTTTTCTATAGAGGCTTTTTACATTCTAATCAGTATATATTCTTATCAATGTTACTATTTAGAGGATTTTCCTCTTAAAATAAGAAACTCTCTTCTTGGCGCCTATTTTAGTATAAAATATACTTAAAGTAAGTGGGATATCCTCAAAACAAGAATACAATTTTTTCGGTGCAGAGACAGCGAAGAACACACAAATCGACCAATTATAGAAAAATTCGACCAATTATAGAAAATGTAGCCAACCGCTCGGTAATATTTGCGCGAGAGAGCCACGACTTCAACTTCGCACGCGCGGAGCTAAGTATTACCAAAAGTGGGGACGAGGAGAGAAGATTATGGCGACGTTGTGCAAACACCGTGTGTGTATTGCCGTTGCGCAAAATTTATATTTTACGAGAGTTTACGCGAAATACTCGAGTTTATATATTGACGAAGTTTGCGCGCAACTTCATTGCTCCCGCCCCATATATATATATATATACGGAAAGACATCGAGTGTCTACACGTATACACACACAGTTCCTTGCGATTCGTTCGTAGGTTTTTGCTCCGATACTTCTTGGGGAATCGCGCTCTGATCCTCTTGAGATGCACTCTCAACTTTTATCTCAACCTTTTCCGACGACGACGTTTTCTTCGTCGTCGAATTTTCATCGTCTTTGTGAGCGATTTTGCGATGCCTAGCGCGATCGTTGTAACTGAAGAACGATTTGTCACACAGTCTGCAGCAGAAAGGCCGTTCGCCCGTGTGCACGTTGCGGCGATGAATATCCCGGGAATCCTTTCGCTGGAATTTCTTGTCGCAGTAATCGCAGGCAAACGGCTTGCGGCCGATGTGAAGCAGAATGTGGTTGTAAAGCGACTTGGTGTCGTTGAATCTCTTGCCGCACTGGGCGCACTTGTATCGCTTCTTACCACCGTGCTTGTACTTGATGTGGTTAATCAACAGTTGTTTAATCTTGAAAGTCTGTTTGCACAAGTCGCACTCGTATATCGGACTGGTCTTGCCCTCGTGCGTTCTCTCCCGATGCGCCTTGAGCGACATTTGATGCTTGAACTTCTCGTGACACTCGCTGCACTCGAAGTAAGGTTGCTGATTGGTCACAAGCGGATCCTTGCGGTCGATCTGATGGTCGTCCACCAAGTGGCGCTTAACCATGCGAAAAGTCGGCAAAGTCTTCGTGCACAAAGGACACGTGAACCATTGGGACAGCGCGATGTTCTCGTCGTACATCCAGTGTTTCTCCAAGTGATCGACCCAGTTCTGTTTCTTTCTGTAGGACTTGTGACACACCTCGCAGGTGTACATCGCGCCGGATATGTGAGTCTTGGAGTGTAGCCTGAGCGAGTTGTTGGTTGTGCATCGCATGCCGCACTTGTCGCACTTGTACGGCTTCTCGCCCGTGTGCGTTCGAAGGTGTTCCTTCAGTCGCATCTTGAGCTGAAACGACTTGCCGCAAAGCTCGCATATGAACGGTCTCGCGCCTTTGTGCACGAACATGTAATGCTCGAACAGCGAGTTCTCCGTGCAAAAGTCCTTGCCGCACGTGCTGCATACAACGTCCTCCTTGTTCTCGTTGTGCCGCATCATGTGAAACTCCAATCTGTCCTTTCGTATGAAGCGAGTGTTGCATTTGGCGCAGTGAAACTGACGCTGAGCGATGAATCTCTTCTCGTAACCGTCGACCATCATCGACGAGATCGAGGTGTCGCATTCGAGACACGTAACCACGTCGTTGCAGATGTTCATCTCAGTTTCCTGAACCGATTTTCCGCAGAGCGTACAAGTCAGGGCGTTTAATTGCGTCTCTTCCGGATCGATCGCGCACTCCGCGACGCCAATGTGTTTCTTCAATTTCTGATGCGTCTCCAATCCGATCTTTGTCAGATATTTTTCCTCACACTGAGCGCAACTGTATTGCACGAGGTTGTGCGTGCGCCTGTAATGATCGAACAACAACAGCTCGTTCACCGCTTTCAAGTCGCACTCTATACAAACGGTGTCCCGCATTTTGTCCAACACATGTCTTTCCATGTGAAATTCGTATCTGAGTTTGTGGAAATACGAGGCGCTGCAAATGTGGCACGTCCACTTCTTAGATTCCTTATTGGACAATTTCGCGCTGTCGCCCCCGGTCAACTTGACGTTATTTGACACCACGTCGAACCACTCGTCGTCACTGTTCGACCAAAAGCTTTTTTCATTGTTCTTCGATTGTTTTTCTTTAACGAGTTTTTTGTCCGAATCGCGATATCTTTTTCTTCTCTTGGCTGCGGGCTTTAATGATGAATTTTGATCGAACGACGACGCATCTTCTTCTTTCTTCGTCGACGAGATGAAAACGTCCACGCAATTGTTCTCTTCTTTTATCGGATTGGTTTTGTATATTTTGTGAAAAATTTCTTCGGTACAGCTGTCGCGATTCGACGACGAACTGTGCAATTTATTTACCGCGCTCAATTTCTTCGGGCTGATAACTCTCACCGTTTTGGGTTTACCTGTCGTAACGATCTTGTCTTTGATCAGTCTTTTCATTTGATCAACAACAGCCAATGAAACTTGAAATGGTTGTTCGCTGTCATTGGAATTGCTGTCTATCAATATCATCAAGGAAATGTTACAATTCGGACACATAAACGTCAAGTCTTTGTCCAAGTTCAACATGTCGGATGTTGTTATTTCTTTATTTTTGTTTATTTTAAACAAACGATTGATCTTTGACTCGTCGCTGTTTTTCTTAGACTTCAAAATGTCCTGACTAAACTCGTAATAACTGATAACTTTGTTATAACACTTCAAGCATATGAGTTTGGAATTATCATCGTCTTGCGCGACCTGCAAAAAAAGAGCAAAACCATGATGTGTTTACTTATTGGAATCCACCCTCAGTTTCCATGGGCGCACACACGAGTATATAGTTTGACAACTGAAAAGCGTACGTATAACCAAAAGCGAATAAAAATTTGACTGATTGACGTTAATGAGAACATGTGAAATAAGTGAATGCTCTTCAGAACACAAAAAACTGTACTTTCATTGTGACCAATGAAGACCGAGGGAGGGTTACTTGCAACTTGCTTGTTTAAACATTGGGACATACCTTGATCGGCAATGTGACATTTATTTTCTGCGCCAGATCAGCTTCATCAAAGATATACTTTGACCGTTTTTCCTCAACTTTTTTATCACACAAACGACACACCAACATATCACTTGATATGCCCATCTTGGTACTCTCATACATCGCATAAACAAAAACTTCTTGTAATTTTTTTTTTGTTTTTGTTTTTTTTCGACAGATGACTTTACATTCGCGACAGACGCAACGTCTTTCCGAGATCTCTCTCAATTATTGGCATCAATGGTCTTTCTCTTGAGGTTATGGTCGCCTAGAAAGAGAGAGAAAAGCGCTCGAAAATTTTTATGAATTTTACGCAAAATTCATAATTATATCATTTGTGCGAGACAAAAAAACAAATCTTTTGCCGATATTTACGTGTAATTTTGATAAGTATACGCAATCATCCACACACATAACGTCAATGTGTTTCAATACGTGTGTGAACTCTCTCGGACGACACATCACACTCAAGTGCAACCGGGAATTTGTTTGCCCGCGATCGTCTCTTTATTTTCTTTCTCACGCGCGATATCGCGTTTATCGAAATTTTCCTATAAAAATTCCCTGCAATTTTGTTTTATCGCAGATGTAATTATATACCTCTCTCGCAATCGCTCGAATCCGTTTTAACCGCGCTGCGACGTAAATATACTAAAAATATACAACACCGCACACAGGTTATGGGAGGTTAGAATTGACATTCGCGCGAATTCAACGCCCGCCACCGCCTACGGCGCGGTGCACACTGCGAGATTATTATGCGCCGTTCACACACACCCACACGCACGCACCGTTTGTCCCAAACTTCTTGCCCAATGGGAACGGATCTACTTTCTAGAAACTCAAATGTCAAGTCGTTCGAGTTTTCTCACGACGACGCAGATTCAACACCGAGAGAGAAACTGGAGTGACGTCGGGAACACATCTGCGTCGTCGCAGTGCAACATCGAATAACCAACGGAGTTGACGGCGAGCGGTGACGTTTTGACGCGCCAAAAATACATAAAGGATATAATACGCACATATCGCATGTATGTATATAATATGCCGTATAATATCAATAACACCATTGTTTTAGTACAAACAATACGAAATATGTTTTCCCGCGGTGGAAAACGCATATTTCCTCTTGCATAAAAATTATATTCGTTTACGCACCATGTGTGTTAAATGTACACGGTACGTAGTATACGTACACCGAAAAAATTGTATTCTTGTTTTGAGGATATCCCACTTACTTTAAGTATATTTTATACTAAAATAGGCGCCAAGAAGAGTTCCTTATTTTAAGAGGAAAATCCTCTAAATATAGTAATATTGATAAGAATATATACTGGATTAGAATATAAAAAGCCTCTATAGAAAAACATATATATATCTCACTATCGAAAAAGACTATATTCCTTAATTAAGGATATATTCTTAAAAAAATAAAGAATATATTCTTAATTTCAGAAGAATATCATCTAAAATCTTGAAGAAGATTTTTTAAGTATAAAATCTTCTACTTACGAGAATATAATTTTTTCGGTGTAGAATAACACAAATTGCATACGGATAAAAATTCAAGGTAACCCTATCGCCAATTTACAAATATGTAAATTTAAACTCGTTATATGACATTACACCGATAATATATTATAGAAAAATAGATGGATAAAGTTTTAACGGGGAAACGATCGTAAATATTCAACAGTGACATATGATTTTATAATATTAATTAATCACATTTAATACGTTGTATTAAATATATATTTTAAATATATTTAATATATTAAATATATTTTTTAAATATATTTAATATATTTGTTCTAATGTCATTAATATTATTAATGTTAGATTTAATTAATATTTTACATATCAATTTGCGTGTGTTTTAATATGTTACATAAATTATTTAAAAAAAAACCGATTGTTACAGAAAGCGCTGCTATGTAACGTTACGCTGTCAAATGCACGCGAGGAGGAGGAGGAGGAAGAGGAGGAGGTAGGGACGTCGTCAACTCGTTAGAAATACGCGAAGGCCAAACTACGCGAATTCCGGACTGTTCAGAGTTGGCAGCCGAGAGAGAGAGAGAGAGAAAGAGACCGCTGTGGGTCTCTTGATAATCGTAGTTAGCGACGAGAAGGACTCTGACAGTTGCGGGGAATATGGCCGAGCGACTCGCCGCCACTCGAGTCCCCGATAACGAAGGGTATGTATGTGTTTCGCGACCTAACTTAACGTCCGATATATATATATACTTTGCCCTCTCCGAAACGAAGGATGACTTTAATTCCCCCTTCCGATTAAAATTGCAAAGCGGAGGATCAACGGGAGGATTCGGTTCTAAGATTACTACTTACACAGCGCGCAGAATCCGAATAAAACTTCTAATTCGTCCCCGCGTCGATCGTTCCTTCGTTATCTCGCTCTTAAATAAAGATGAGACATGTATCGGTTGTCCTTAAAAAAAAAAAAAAGAAGAACGATCTCTTTCTGTTCTCTCAAACGAGATTTTTGTTCGGACGGATGATAAGATCGTCTTTGAAAATTCGTCTAATTAATTTTCCCGCGTTGTATCTTTATCGATCCGGAAGAGGAGAAAAAAACTGTGTGTAAGAGAGTTAATTAAGATAAGAGTGTTAATTTTTCTTGCGAATATTATTACACCGTAGAAACGCGCGAAATGCGAAACACATTACGCGAGTTAGACATTTCTGAATAAAATCTGCAGTTGCAAAGGGATTTTTTTTTTTTTTTTTTTTTTTTTCAATAGGTACTAGTTTACAAGGGAGGATCCAACGAGAGAATCTGTCTCGAGGAAAGCGTCTTTCTGTTGCCGTCACTCGACGAGAAAGAGAGCAAGGCGAGGAAGACTTTAATTCAACGTTGAAATTGCAAATCAAGTTTAACGGGCGCCTGAATGCGAGGATAAGAAGTGAGTACTCAAAAGCAACGTTGAGAAAAAAAAAAAAAAAATAAAATAAAATAGCAAGTAAATACACACAAGCAAACCAGGTATCTTTATCTTGAATCTTTCTTTGTGTGATCTTCAATTCGCGCGCGCGCGCGCGCGCCAACATTTGCGCAAAACTTCGTTTCGTGTTACAAAGAACTTAATTACCTCATTTGCTCTCACAGTCTTTTCTACTTCAAGAACGACGCGATAAATAACGCGCGCGCGCGCGAAAAACAAACGTGTTCCCTTTGTGTAAATTGCACAATCATCGAAAAATCAAATGTTCCTCGGCGGAATGTCGATGAGGAAAAATTTATAGATGAAATACTTGAAAATTTCAACAGTGTCGATAGAGTGTTGTTTGAAAAATCAACCAGTAAGACGTTTCTTTTTCAAAATTAACAAGCACACGAGAGAGAGAGAGAGAAAGAAAGAGAGACTCGCTCTCGTTCTTGGATAGTCTATTTCCTTTAGAAATTTGCTACCACACCAAAGTTCCAGATCGTAAAACTCGTCTTCCATCTCCGTAGGGCGTAGGGTGAATGTTTTGCCGAGAGCCAGTTGGAAGGAACGAAACTCCTACTCTCGGTAACAGATCTAATAACAAGGGCTCGAGTGAATGAGCAAACTGCAGACGACGACGACCCTTCTGTTCGCTTCTATCGACAGCCTCTTCTCGGCGAGAAACTCTCCCCCTTCTCTCTCTCTCTCTCTCCTTTTCTCTCGTCTCGCCGACAGATTCTTGAGAATTTTCAGCCGGCGCCGTAGGCAACAGACTGATTCCGAGATTACGAGTCTAATTAACGGATTAAGCGGCCGACTCTCTGTTTGTTAGAAAATTAACTCGCGCTTCCTCGACACCTCAGAATCGCGGTTTTGAATCGACCGGGCGAGCATAAAATGGCCGAACGAGGCGAGAAGAAAAGTGCACCCTTCAACACAAACCCGAGGAGCGGGATATTGCAAAATCTCTCTCCGCGCAAGAAGAATATCCCGTTTTAAGGTAGTTATTGAGATTTTCAGTCTATTTACAATCTTATTCATATTTGGAATATACATTTTTAAGTAAGCAATCTATCATATTGTTCAATCTCAAAAAGCTCAGCCGTACCAAAAAAAAGATATAAGGCTTTGAAGTTCAGCTTTTTA